TTATTACATTATGATTCTATAATGGCATTCTTTTTTAAAGTTTGTCGCCGGTCCGATCATGCCACAAAAAGGCCGCCATTATCCCTCTTATGTGTTCTTAAACAAGTTTTTTTCTAACTTAATGTTTCGTGTTATCAACATAATTAGTAAAATATAACTACAGCATAGATGAAGATAGTATTATAACAGCGTTTCATATAAAATTCAACAAACCATCAAAGTTTTGGTATGGATTATTTGCTATGCCTATCACTGTACATTTGAAATGTTTCCTGTTGATTTTGAAATATTTTGATAGTCGTATTAATATTCAATATTTTGAAGTCGTTTTATTTTGTAACCTTACCCCTATTTAATAGCACTGTGGAACCTTATTCAATAGAAATCTAATAATGAAATCACTGCACAAATGTTTATTTGAATAATTTTTGCCTAGAGCCAATTTTTATAGTCTACCCTATGTTGTTATTCCTAAATACTTATAATTTTGTTAAGGAGTGATGAGCGCACATTAGATGCCAATAGCAGCATCAGTATTTTGTTATGTTAAATCATAATATAAGAAACTTATCTACTTTATTTTCCCACACAAAAAAATTTTAATTATTAAATAATTATATAACACGATCTCAATTTTATTTTTCTAGTAGGACCCGCCCGCGACTTCGTCCGCGTTATCTTTAGTTTAGTTAGTTCGTCGAGGATCACACGAAAGTTTATCTGAAATTAAAATCCTATGTCTTAATTCATGTCATAAAATATATTCATGTCATCCAAATCCATTCATTATTTTTTGCGTGATTGAGTGACAAACATAAAAACACACAAAGTTACTTCATGTTAACCACCCACTTAAAATTAAAAAGATCAGCCGACCCCTTCGCTAACTTTTTTGACATTACAGTCTGCAGTGTGTGCATCGATGCTTTTCAGAATAAGTATCTTGTAGCGCTTTAATAAAGCTACTACAGCTTTAAATCTAAATTTTAAAATTTTAATTCTTTTCTTTAGATTTAAACATCTAGCAGTTAAATGCTTAAAAAATAAAAACATAACTAAAATTACTATTACTTCTTTCAAATGTTTAATACCTGTTAAGGTATTCATTTGACATTGTGGGTTACCCACAATGCGAAGAGATGACGCTGATTTGCAGCCTAAGGCTGGAGTAAGTTCGACATGGCCGTCAGGGCCGCAGTAGCATAATGGTCAGTGTATTCGCCCGGATAGCGAAGGGTGCGGGTTCGAGTCCCGTCTGCTGCCTGTTCCGTGTGGATTTTTTTCTAGTAAACTTTCCTTTAGATTAAACACCTAGCAGTTAAATGCTTAAAAAATATAAACATACTACAGATTTATCACTAAATAGCTCGGTGATTATATCACTTCTATCTGTCAAAAGCAGTTAGCGAATGGGCCTACTGGAAGGAAGGAAAAATTTTTATTATTAAACTTGGTGTCAGAAACTGGGTGGTTTATTTAGTATTGCATTATTTGTACAGAACAAACGTTTTATGACGACTGTGATAAAAAAATAGAGAAAAACTAAACACATGATTGGAACACTTTGGAAGTGGAAGGATTGTACGAATGTGTAGGGAATAGACGCAGGCATATATATTGCGGGAAAGAAGTTCTAGGATGAATAGGAAGCTGTAAGACTTCTGTATATATTACTTAGACTGTGGTTGTAGGTATACTTATACATGTATTGCATATGTATTCTATCCGTTACCTAGTATCCCATAACACAAGCCTTACAGTGCTTACTTTGGGGCTAGGCTAATTGGCGTGACTGTTGGAAATATTTATTTATTTATACTTAGCACGTGGACCTGCGGTATATCCGATCTTGGTACTTATGTACTTATATATAATATAACGGAATTAGTAGGTAACTAGTTACTTAGTGAATAAAACACAAAAACATTTTTTCACATTTTTTATTAATTCTTTTATGTAATCGTCAGAGTTGTACAACTAAATAATCACAGTTGAACCGAAACATAACTTTAATTATAGATAATAATTAATTGTCTAAAGTAATCCACGTGGGTAAGTGCGTAGTCAGCGTCACTTGTAGCTCGTGCCTTATTTTGTACTGGGGTTGTGTGCTCTGCGGTCTATATTATAATGTGTTCCCCCCTAACTTTAAATGAGAATGTAACCTATCAGGTCATTTAAAAGTTACCTTTATGTTCTTCGCATTGAGTTACAAAAGTTTTATAATTATAAAATCGAATCGATTTGTTCGATTATTCAATAAGTGCAACATGATTAGATAATTAATATTTGTGATGGATTTTTTGATAGTGTAGAGAGCTTACATTTTCTTCAATATCTTTGGTATAAATATTAATAGTTTTTCACGAGTTATGTAGGTATGTGCAAGACGAATAACATCCCTTTTTGGTCAGGCATAGATAGTAAATATTAAAACGTTAATACTTATTACAGTTCAGAGCGCGGTGGTGAGTTTCTGAGCAGCTGCCACCAATTTTAATCACAGAAACAACTTGCGAATATCGGAGCTTTTACACCGGCTCTGTTATTTATGACAGCGCAATTAATGAGCAACGGCGACAAAACGTGTGGCACAGATATAAGATGTCGGTTTATAAAATAATTCTCCCGAGATATTACGAAACGTTTTTGCCGGCTGACGTCAGCGGGACACTGCTGGTGTTTCTTTCTGCATAAAATTTATGCATACAATTTTATAGCTTTACCTATTGGATAAAAACTAGATTTATTTTCCTTCCTCGAGAATTTCTCTGCGAAAACTATGCGATAAATTCTGCTAAGGCGAACGGGACTGCAGAGCTGTAAAAAACAAGACAAAAGTGCGCGGGCACGCACTTTCACGGAAAAATATCACTTTTAAGTATAAAATATTCCAAAAACTTACAATATAAAATGGTTGTATATTACGACTGAAATATAAAAACGGACTGAAATCACTATAGTTTTTTTTTGTCTATATGTATGATACTGGCAGTGTAACGATAATTTATTAAATAACGTAAAATAATTAAAATGGGATGTTGATTCTCAGTCTAGCTAGGTCTCAATGTCTACTTATAAGAATAGTAATTAACGAGGATTGCTTTATTACGGATTTATGTACTTTAGAGATTGCTTTTATAATATTTTTCATTAGTGCAAACTAGAGTGGTGACTTTACAATAAAGTATTCAAAGTCTATAATATCATAATCAAACAACCGAATCTACTAAAATCTTAGGCTTTCACAAAACGCATAATAAAATCAGTCATTTTAACGCAATTCAGTATATTTCTATAATTTATACACTGATCGTAAATCGATGTCGATGTGAGACAGTTATTAGAACCAATTTAATTTTAGTATTAAATTACATTATCTTTTTATTAAAAAATCTTAAAAATTAATCTATAAATTAGTGACTTCTAACGGTTCAATTAAAAAAAACTATCTCACGTCAATATCGACAAGTTAATACTCTAGCACAACACTCTTATTAAGTTATTGATATTTTCCTAGGTGCGACTAAATTTAATTATTAAACATACGAATAAATAAAGTGCAAACACTTAAGACTACCGACATTAGCTGCATCGTAATGCTAGTAAATTGGCACTGTCCCATTCATATCTGCGCAACTCCCGGAGACTGGGTGCGCGCGCATTCACACTCGTCTGTAGACAGCGCAGGCGCCACTGACTATGTCACTTTAATTTTATGCCTTGTTTATCTACATACATTCATTAAAAAAAACGATTTGATATCATTCTTTTTTACGTATTCTAGAATAAAAATAAATAAATGATATTATTTAGATAGATAGATATTTGTAAGTTACAAACACACAAAATGACCTACATACCATGCATGCACTTACATCTCAAGCAGAAGGCAATACCATTGTTGAGAAATCAACCAAGTGCCAAACAAACATTGTACAGAATATGTGCAGAGGCAAATAAAAATGTTCACATCAGCGTCACCTGCGCCGCCAACGATCCACGCGTTCATAATCATCAATCTCGCGCGACGTCCACATTCGCCACCATCTACATATACACATTCGTTTATTAAACTGTTAACGCCAAACTCGACCCATGACTACACAGTTCACTTATTACATGTTACTACGAGTAGACCGCAGCCGTTCGAGACCATCCTAATTATTTAACTAACACTACACTGAGACATAGGAGAGGACCACCGGTTACTTACTGTACACTTTCCACTTACAATTTTTATAGTTGAATTATGACAATAGTTATTTTTTTTTAATTATATTTAGCTAAATGTATAAGGGGTAGCTTTCTGTTATTGTTACCATATTTACACGCCCCTGTTTACATTACAAATGAGCATCAGAAACTCGATGTCCGAACGGACCGTTTTATCTATTTTTTATTGTTATTATAAAATATAACATATTCTTTTATACTCTAAGTTATTGATTTAATGCTCAAGGGCCATTATGTTAGTGTTATCATCATGTAAAGCTGTGGACTTACAAAATACTCGTATAAATTATTCACATTTATAGCACACTATCTACAAACACCCACGTATCATACTCACGGCTGGCCCTCCAGCAGAAATCCGCTTAATACAATAACGTTTCCAATAAAATACTGACTCATAATATGGCTAAATCGAATAAAAACTTATATATCAAATATTTGGTGAAGATAATATACGTTTTAAGACTTTAAGTATAATATAAAAAACGTCGCAATTAAATTATGTAAGTTAACCTTAAACGAGAAGGGGGTTTCTTAGAAGCTAAACATTTCAACTACAAATAAAGTCGTATAAAATTGATAAAGAGTATTTAAGTTTGCGCGCGCGGGGATTTGTTGCCGCTTAGGTATTTACAAAATGAAACTCCTTGGTTGTGTTGTTCGGGGGCGTCTCTCCGTTTGGCGGGTAGGCTGTTCTGTGTGGGTTCAGTGGTGGGAGACAATTGACTTAGGGTGCGCGGTGGCGCGGAAGGGACGCAGACGGTCTACAGTTGCTCGTCCAGGTCGGGACCGTACAGGTCTGCTAGTTTGTCGAAGCGGGGGCCCCACGCGCCCAAGTAGTCGTACTCGTGTGTCTCGTCGTCCGTACCTGGGTAACAAACAAAAGTGATAACAAGAGCGGCGTCGTATTGTAAGCCTTTATTAAGTACAGTAAACATATCAATAACTAGATGACCCGGCGAACTTCGTGTCGCCTAACAGTCGATGAATGTGGTTAATTTAAAGAAAAATGATAAAGTGAGTCAAACTTAAAAGATATGGTGTCGCGGACTTTTTAAAGAAATTTAAAGGATAACAATTCCGTCATTCATGATTTTTGTGTGACTTTAACCGTTTACGCAGCGCACGCAACGGAAGCGCTCAAATGGTATATTTTGCTCTGTCTTCGCAACATTTTTCATCGATGTTCCGCTCCTACTCGTTGTAACGTGATTTAATATAGCTTTCATCGATAAATGCACTAACCAACACGGACCAGTAGTTCCTTAGATCAGAGAGTTCAACCAATCAAACTCTTCAGTTTAATAATATGTATTACTATATAGATATAGTATACATAATAGGCGATAAGAAATGAGCTACTCAGTGACCTTTAACTAACTCTTAGAGCATATATCTAAGCTTTTTACTATAAAATATATATTATTACAATTAATGAGTAAAAAAAAGTTAAAAGAAAAATGTGTCACCATCTATTTTGGCGTAGAACGCAAAAGTTTTAAGCTGTATCCTAAGTTTTGTAAGTTGTTTGTAGTAACTCTTTGAAGATATTAATAATATAAGCGTAAGCCTAGTTTATGTGAATAATCTACATACATGAATAAAATATTTATAATTCAGTATTATCTACACTCAATTATAAATAATTTTATTCGTGAAGATTCAGAAATGATAATTCTACGAAGCAGTCTAAAACTTGTAGTTCTTCTCAAGGCAGGCACCCCCTGTAAAATCCGAGTACTTAATAGTAAAGTATACAATACCAACAAAATACATAACTTGACTATGCTATCGACGCAAGTATTCTGAGATACCAAAATTTTGAAGACTACTCTATATTATTCTGGTCTGTTTAAAATTTTTAACCAACCAAATATATTCAAGACTGTATTACGTAAATAAATGAATAATCTGCAGGAAAACTGGAAGAGGTTCAATTTTTCGCTTCATACATTGTGGATGAATCGCCTCTGGGTACCGTCATAAATTTTAAAGCGGAGTCACGTTCCAAACCAATTCGCTCTCGATGACGAAGAAATTCTCAGTGAGGTCAAAACTTATGGGCTCATATTGTTATTCTTGCTTTTCAGTGGTCATGCATTACTAACTACTTATAGTTATATTTTGTATACATATGTTTTACTAGGTTCAACTCCATTTTCAAACAACGCGATAAGAACCTTTGATGCATTTTGCGTTCTTATGAATCGTCGAACGAATTCAACCAATTCCAAAATAAAAAATCTAGGCACAACCAAGAGCTACAGATTTTCATACTGTTTAATGAATGGAAATTCTTACTTAGTTAGATACTGGAATTTCCAATCTCTAACTTTTAACTAACATTTGATCAAAAGCAACTAAAAGTTTTTATCGAGTAATTTGCTGATCATAAATAACGAGCTTAATCAATCAGCTCTGAAGTTGGCCAAACGACTTTCAGTGAAAACAAAGGAATTTCCGAAATACAAAGTTTTAATAATATCAGCCATAAATTAAGGCGTAGGAAGGTACTCGTACCTGCATCATAAATTCGAAGATTACTATTTCCGATTTTCTCCTTTCTTTTTTAATTAGGGTTCCGTACCTCAAAAGGAAAAACGGAACCCTTATAGGATCACTTTGTTGTCCGTCTGTCCGTCCGTCCGTCTGTCAAGACCCTTTTTCTCAGGAACGCGTGGAGGTATGAAGCTGAAATTTATATCAATTACTCAGGTCTACTGTCCCTTGAAGCTGTGAAAAAATCAAACTTCTAAGCCAACGCAATCAAAAGATACAGCCGTTTATGCCGCAAATTTTCGACACTTGCAAGGGAATCAAAACCTACAGGGTGCTTCCCGTGAACTCAGAATCTTGAAATTTGGTACCAAGCAACGTCTTATAGCATAGATAAAGGAAAAATTACGAAAACCATAAATTTTTAGTTACATCACATAATATATATTTTTTTAATAATTTTAACCTTACTACCCATTTCCTCATAAACGCGTAGAGGTATTAAATTGAAATTCATACCAAATACTCAGGTCTATAATACCTTTAAGCTGTAACAAAATCAAACTTCTATGTCAACGCAATCAAAAGAAACAGCAATTTAAGCTGCATATTTTGAAACTCGCAAGTACTCGCAATGGGAATCAAAACCTAAAGGGTACTTCCAGTCGACCTAGAATCTTGAAATTTGGCATGAAGCAACGTTTTATAGCACACATAAAGGAAAAATTGCGAAAACCTTAAATTTTTAGTTACATTACAAAATATATATTTTTTAATAAATATAAACTTATTACTTTTTTCCTCATGAACGCGTAGAGCTATCAAGTTGAAATTCATATCAAATACTTAGATCTAATTGCCTTTAACCCGTGAAAAAAAAAAAAATCTAAGTCAACTCAAAAACGCAAAACGCAAAAGTACAACCATTGATACCGCATATTTTGAAACTCGCAACTACACGCAAGGGAATTAAAACCTAAAGACCACTTCCCGTTGACATAGAATATGTGTTAATATAAAATAAAGGATTACTTAAACGATAAAGAGATCTTTGTCTTAAATTTATGCTCCTCCATCTTTCCCCATTGTAATGTTATGAATTTCATTTTGCAATAAAAATACCATAGTTATGACTCGATTGTCGTAATGAACGAACTTTGTAAACCTTGCAGGTTTGTACGGAACCCTCGGTGCGCGAGTCCGACTCGCACTTGGCCGGTTTTTTATTTTAAATAAATCATGTTTGCCTCCAAAAATTTGTCTCGAAAAAAGTAAGTTTTGTTTTAGCTAATAACTATAATATTAGCAATTTATCTATTACCGAAAAAGCTCGACCTTACTTTACTACAGTAGCAAAGTGAAATAACGCATTAACTTTAATACCATAGAGAAAGTTGATATTATTGGAATAGGTACAAAGGGCGCAGCGTGGGTTTTGTCGCCGCGCCGATGGCGAAGGGCTAATTGGGCCGAGACTTCAATGCCCTCTCATGCGTCAAAAACAGAAAGTGTTTTAAAATAACAATATTAAAAGTAAATATTTCCCGGCTGTGCGCTCACAGCTATGCGGCAGGAAAACAACTATTCTTTTCCTTTTTGCCACAGTTGCGGCGCTTGTATGGCATTTCGTACTTGACAAAATTAGTAGGTACGTAGGTACGCCTTATTTTTATTTAGCAGCACCTATTTCACGTGTTATTATATAGCTAAAAATAGTAACATTTTCGCTCCTCTTGAAGTTCCGCCAGGACAGGACGTCCGCCCTCACCATCCCCACCCCAATACGACACTAATTATAAAGCTAACTCTGAAAGCTGTTGGTACTTAATCTCGTTTAATGTCTTAATAACCAGAGGGTGTAGTCTTAAAATAAATATTCGATCATCATAATGCGTTTAATTTACAGTGACGCGTCATAATGGCGCACTTAATACCACACATTACAGTTGAATTTTGTTAAATTCGTGCATAATCATCAATCGAATAGATTAAACTACAAGTTGTACTTTATCCAACCCAACTTGTAAGATATCCGACCCAACTAGTATGGTGTCCGTCAGCGTACACCACATCGAGTTCGAGGTTGTTACTTATGCTAATAAATAGTGCCTAATCAGTGCAATAATAAAAAAAAGACAGCGATCCAGCAGTGCTGCCGTCTCCCTTGTACGCGTAATTGCGCAGGTCGTAGAAGGGTGGCGCGTATCTAAACTAACTTGTACGATAGCCAACCAAACTTGCAACGTACTCGTATGATGTTTTAGGTAAAGTTCATTTTTAAAGCGAATGTTCTACTTACCAGATGCAAGGGACGACAGCGATACAGCAGTGCTTCCGCGTCCCTCGTACACCCTAGTTGCGCAGGTCGTGAAAGCGTGGATCGCATTTAGCCCAACTTGTATGATAGCCAACCAAACTTGCAACGTATGGTGTTGTTGGTAAAGTTCATTTTTAATTCGAACGTCGTACTAACCAGATGCAAGGGACGACAGCGAGCCAGCGGTGCTGCCGCCTCCCTCGTACGCGTAGTTGCGTAGGTCGTCAAAGGGCGGCGCGTTGGGGTCGCTGTCCGCGCGTCGCTTGTGCTCCTCTATGAACATCCCGACGTTGGTCTCCCCTGGTAGAGGCACGCCTACACCCGGAGCCACGCCCACTCCGACGCCCATCGGGCCGACGCCGATTCCGACGCCCATAAGTGGATCTAAGGGAAAGAAGATGATCGTAACTTTATGGTCAATCATTATCAACCTATTGAGCTGCTGCACTGTTGGGACATAGGTCGTACATAGTGCTTACGACAATTGCAGATTGGTGGGTGCTAACGATAGCAGATGCAGCCAGAATCAACGGCTTAACGTGCCTTCTGAAGTACGTACGAGCTCGAGATAATAAATTTTCGGTCACCCATCCGATGACTAGCCATAACGAAAGTTGCTTTACTTCCACGATCGCAGACCGAACGCGCTAAACACTTAGGCCAGCGAGCTCCTCGACGGTTAATTGCATTAAAACAAAGATATAGAGTGAAGACTGAGTGACATTCACATGAAATTGATAACTTTCTAGGAAGAGAGACAGCGATGGTGGAGCCCAAAGATATACGAACTATTGTCTGCCCGTTCACTTCGTCTCTCTCACTGTTATATGGCCAGTTTTTTTGTTGGGCAAGGAACTCTCTGTCCATTATCTATGCCTATGTATTAGAACTTGGTATAAGTTAGAAGTATTTCTTAATTGTTATAGCATCAATATATGCATTCTGGTACGTACGAAGCACTTACTCGTACAATAAAAACGTTTAGGAACTGATACCAATATTCTTTTATTAAACGTGGTTGTAAAAATAAGTCACATATCAAAGATATCTCTCAAAGTGATTATAAATTGATTCGAACTATATCTGAGAAGATATTGAATTGGCAAATTGAACCCAGCTACTTATGGAATCTCAAATAGGTGAACGCAACATCAATTTTACCCAATCATGTTGATATGAAGTAATGTGACATTCTTATTGGATTCACGGTTCATTGGAAATATCGTAGCACGCACGAAGAAAGTGCTTTCATCGCAAAAAATATTTGAATATTTTTAGAGACACGGTCCCTACTTTTAAATGTATACGAAAGTAGGGTGTAGAATTTAACGCCTTAAAATACAATATTGACGGAGTAAAATTCCTCATAATATTTTATTTAGCTCGCTACGAGTATAAAACATCACGATACATAATTAAACGTGAAAATGAAGAATTGCGTTGACAAAACACTTAAAGTGTCGATACTTCGTGTATATGTAAGTAAAGAATCATGTTCGTTTTAGCCATAATTACTTACTGGTACTGGTTTAAATGTTAACTAAGCTTGAAATGAGAACTAAATGTTTCCATGATATTCTGTTTATTCTACATTTTATACGAATACTTTTAATAATCTGCTTACATGGTAGTTTAGGGGGTGCATGATCTGGTAACGGTCCTCCAATAGGAATCTGCAGTGGGGTGATGTCAAATGCTGTCATGTCGTCTTCACCGCCGCCTTCGTCATCGTAGTTGATGATATTCTCACGGACATCATCATCAGGTCCTGGGTACTTAATGTGAGCCTCTCGTCTTCGATTGTAAACCACGAAGACCAACACCAGAACTGGTAAAAAACTTTTTGTTTTAGTTACTTTGCATTATATTAACGATTTTGAAAGTTATAACGAAACTCAAACTACAATAAGGATGACGACTTACTTTTTTTTCTTCGTCTATCAGGTAGATTATCAATTAGTATTGTAAAAGGATTTTTTCAATTCACATAATCAAAACATTACTGAGATATATTATTTGGATATGTCGCATGACGTCACGTTTTGGTACAAGTTTTACTAAGAAGTGAAGTCACGAGCCCCCACTACCAAACTTTCATGTTTTATCTTTCTATTTTTTTGGTTGATTCACCAAAGAAAAATACGTGTCTCTATTATTTTTTGATAATCTAACTGACAGACTCAGTACAATTTCGTTTACTTTACACCGTCGTCACCCCTATTCAAATTTTATTTAAAAGATGATCTGCTGCATTGAAAACAAAGATAAATTTTCAAAAATCTTTGAACCACACTAATGCAGTTTCCTTGTTATTATAAGGTCCTATTTGCAATTACACAATCTTTATAGATGAAAACTTGTCCCTTTTGAAAATTTAAAGCAAAATATTGGGCAAGTGTGTCGGTAATCAATTTGTTCGATAGCACCAATATTACTAATTTTAATATAAAGTATGTAGCTTTAAAGGAATTATTGGTACTTTAGAAATCGTAACTAAAGCAGAAAAGGAGCGCTTAGTCAGCTTTATGGGAAATCTTTGAAGTTAAAAGTTGCTCAGTAGTCGCATCACGTTGAGTGTTGGGGATGTGATCGATCATGCCCTACGAACAGGAATTCCTTACTTCAGAACTTTAAGTAGGTATTGATTTTGAACGTTTTCATATAATATGTTAATTTGAATCACAATACTCCTGGAAAGATTGGTTGCGTAACGCCAACCCTTATTTGTAAGCTTCGGATGCTTGTAAATGAAATTGTAACGGAAATTTGCTTGCGAATGAAAATTTTGTACCACCTATGTTATAAAGTAATATGAAATCCACATGGTTGTTTGATTGGTTTGATTCAAAATCTAGACGACTTGTAATCAAAGGGCAAGCGAGCAAGGCTGTAGTTTTAATGCGGTTTGACAGTTGCACTCTGCAATTAGGCTTATAGTTCCTAAGACGTATTTAACCTCCTATATAGACAACGAAGCTTAATTCAAGTTTCTGATCTAGCTCTAAATTGATTGAACTCACGAAATCAATGACCTTTAAGCATATGAGAGATCACATAAATGATAAGAGGCTCTATAAGCAGTGTAAGCAAGCGATCGGCTTTAAAACAAAGTTTTGGATAGTAATAAATCATTTACGCTAATTATTCTTTCGACAAGGAGATGATCCGATTTATCGAGGTCATTTGTTGCAAGGAAATTGGTAGTAGCAAAGATAAGATTTAGGACTTCAATTTCCGTAAGGTGTTTAATAAAGTAGTAGGGACCCAAAGGGTTGTCGAGTAGATGAAACAGCGCTAACTGTGGTTATTTGATAAATACAAGGTAAAATAATATCTGTTCTACTTATCCGATTACATATTATAAAGTTATTTATATCTCTCTCTCTTTTATGTCTATTAGCTTAAAAATATTTAACAAAAAAAATATTTTAACGTTACTGATATAAGTAGTACTACCTCAAGAAAAGAGTAAGAAAGGTAAAAATACTTTTACTATTTAGGTTAATTTTTCAATTCTTGAATAAAAAAACTTAGCACAATAAAAGTAATTGCAATCCGTAGTCAATAGTAACATGAAACGATAACAATAGATGTGTGTAACTTTTATCTAAGATTGAAAAATCAGCCCTACGGTAAATAGGTAATATTGGAGTATACCTACCATCTACTACGGTTGGTACATTATATGGCTACAGTACATGTTTAGAGAAGCTGTTTTTAAACTTAACACTCCCAAATTAAAGAAGTATCGTCTTTTAAAACTATATACAACTATAGTTGACGGTATGCACCAAATGAAAATATATTTAACCAAACTGATAATTTAAAATAATCGTCGTAAATTTTCTAACTTTGGATATGTAAAACTATATGTAATCCCTAAATAAGATTACGTGTATAGTGATAACGTGTGTGTGTATCACACACCTCATTAGAAGACGATTTACAAATGTAAAACTATGGCATGCAAAACAATGAATGGAAGTGCTCACCCAAAAGCAAAAATAAACACACTATGATAGCTATAATGAAATCTCTGGAGGGTGTAATGACACCAGAGGCCAGCAGCTCTAGTTCACAGTCGTGGCCGGTGTATCCGAACGCGCACACGCAGTCGTAGCGGCGCGCCGGCTCGCGGTCGATGCAGTTGCCACCGTTCAGGCACGGGTTCTCCAAGCACTCGTTCACGTTGACGCAAGTGCCTCCAGCCCGGACGGAGCCCGCGGGACACCTAAACAACTTTACCTGTTCAACTGCCCATCTGCGCACAGAGCCCCACAAGCATGCTCTAATATACTACAAATACGCTACATATACATATAGATGGAGGAGTGGTGAGTGCGAGGGTGATAGTGCGATGATCTAGCTGGACACGCGGGAAGCGTGGCTAAGTGCTCACTCATAATAATGAGGAGGCAGACGAGGATGGCGGCCAGTGCGCCCATGCTGAGCTTCAGCGTGCGCCCTTCTTGAACGAGCTCGCAATTCTCGCCCCAGAAACCTTCCGGGCAGTGGCAGCGATAGCCGGGCTCGCGGTTCACGCAAGAGCCGCCGTTCCGGCACGGGAAGTAGAGGCATTCGTTCTTGTCAACGCAACCTTTACCGTCCGACGATAATACCAAACCCTCACCGCAACTGAACACCGTTCCAATATAATTATTAGTATGATTATATATTTACGAGTACATATAAAAAGCATTAAGAAATGTTATAAATATTAGAATTAATAGAAATCAGTAAATACATAAATCATTATAAGATAATATAAAATAAGTAAGCAAGGAGTAGTTATACAAGTAATATATAACTCATAAATTAGTTTTTGTTATATTTTATAATTAATATTCACTCATGATAATAAACGTTTGTGGAACTCTGTGCGCACTCAAAATATGGAAATAAAAAAATTAATATTAAACTTAAGCACAGGATATAATTTGATTTGCTTCTCCTTCAATCGAATATAGATAAAGCCATTGGGACCGATTGCTATCGTGAACAGGTAAATACATATAATTAATCCAACTAGTGAGGGTGCAATCTGTATCAAGTTGTATTTACTGAAATGAACTCATTTTTCTTGATTGCTATTGCTGCTTGCTAACTGCGTATCTTATGGATGATAAGATATCTGTCACCGTTGTTTGATAATTTACTTATATTAACAATACTGTTTCATTATTTTTTTATATGACAATAAAAACAACTAGTATTATACTCACGTGCATTCGTATTCGTTCCACAGATCCACACAAACGAAGGGTTCCGTGCAATGGACATTTATGCAAGGGCTGTTGGATGGGCAATTGCGGTCTAAGTTTCTAGCCATCGTCGCCTGGCCCCATTGTGTTCCATTCATAGCAGGAGGTAACGGCAAATGTTTACCTTCTAATCGTATATCATCTAAACAACCTTTTTGGAAGTCTGCGTAGACTTCAAATGTTCTAACACCAGTGTATTCAGCCTTTCCACCAGCATATACACCTTCTTGTTTGTCTACTAACAACCACTGATGTCCTTCGAATGTAAACGTTTCATTGTATCTTCTTCCTTCGCCACCATCAATCTCAAGCGTTGCGGCACTACCATAGCGACTCACTCGAGCTATATGCCACTGGCCGTCGTCCACTGCCACAGAGTTTAACCACACATCTCTTTCTTCAGTACGTAAAGAGTTCAGATTATAGCGGAAATGTAACCGGGCATCTTTAACTTCCAAAATGCCGTATTCGCGATTGTGCTGATCACTAACTCTAAACAGTTCACCATGCGGTTCTCGTGTTCTAAATCTTAGTTGAATTTGGGTGCTAAATCGATCTGGTTCAAAGCTGAGAGCAAATTTTACGTAGCTCTGTGGTCTGAAACTTGTAGGAGTGGTGGGCAAGTTACACGATGGACCGGTCCACCCTGGCTGACATTGGCATCGTGCCTCAGAAAAGCTTCCAACACAGGTTCCATGTTCCCAGCATCTAGAAGTGGTATCGGCTTGATTACAAATTTCTTCGGTTTGGGGACAACCTGCTACAGAGTTCCTCGATAGCCCTGGATGTGCTAAATCGTACAATTTGCTGTTGTGAACCAGATTTCGTATACACCCATCGAATCCTTTACCGATTGGCATGTATTGCCAGTGATAATGTGTTGGATCGAAATGTTCAATGTATAGACCACCAACTTGTAAAGGAGCATTTACATTTAGGTACTCATTAAAAGGAGGAATCGTTCCAGTAGCTTGACATGTTGTATCGTCAAATTCTGGAGGTGTACCATCTTCCATTTCTTGAATGTCCGCTGATTTACAGAAGTCAACGATCATCCTCACATTTTCCGTATCCCAAAAGATGTCTATCCTATGCCATTCCCCGTCATCTAAGGATTTTTTCGTTTTGACTCTCAACTCTAATGTTCCTGATCCAAAATCTATTAAAAGTCTTGGATTGCCCCTTTCCAGCTCTATAGATATAAAATCAGACACCATTATTTCTTCAGGTTCTGGAGGTACTATTGGCCCATTATAAATAAGGACACCTTCAGATTTTCGGGTTATAAATTCAAAACTTAAATGAGAATTGTCGCACATTTCCAAAGCAGGATACCATGCCCAACCAGTACCTCTAAAACTCCTTGATGTTTGTTGACATCTTGGTCCAGTATATCCAGGTGGACAAGAACAGGTGAGTCCGTATTTTCCTTCAATACACCTACCACCATTATAGCATGGGGAGTTACGGCATGTTTCAGCTTGAGTAAAGTTTCGAGCACCACACGTGCATTCGGCAATAACATCCACGCGTACCCCAACTAACGCAGTCTTGTTTGCATTAACCATGTAGGGTAGGTTACTAATATCAAGTACATTAGTGCAAGATCCTTCGCACATTTGATTCTCATATAAGCATTCATCGATACCCACCATAGTGATATTTATACCAACGGCTCCCTCTATTTCCTCTCTGTGCATTAAAACAATACCATTTAATCTAATAGGTTTGTAATAATGAGCACCATGTGCTGAAAATCTTATATCTGTTACAGGTGGATGTTTCTTTCTCAACTGTACACTAAATACATCGATATTTTCTCGCTCAGTATTTAACAAATCTGCTAATTTATCTTTAAATATGTCTAATTTACTTCTAGATACACTTAGAGTTTTATAATTCCATACTCTTATAAAGTCTTCATCAGATATTCCCGATATTCGTATAGAACCAGAATTGATAATAGCCTCATGTGATATTTCTTTCACATATACGGTCACATTAGCAGGCACATCCGTTTGTGTATGTTTCCTGTCATACACTTTGAATTTCAAATGGTATCGACCTTCTCTAGTTTTATGTTTCATTTGTATCATGCCCGTTTCTTCGTTCAAAGTAAAATTTGGATGTTCCGTACTCTCCCAGAAAAATTTCTTGTCAGGAAGATCCCAATCATCTAGATCATAGACATAAACTCGTCCAATTTCCGTATCTGGAGCTTGACCTTGGTAATTATAGATTAGAATTTCTTTTGAACCTGGTTGCATTTTATTGTCATTTACATCACCAATAACGACGGTAAGTGTACTAGTGCCCGTCATGGCAGGGTTCCCGTGATCCTTTATAATTATTGGAATTAAATACTCTTTCTGTTGTTCTCTATCAAATGATCTAAGTGACGAAACAATAGCCATACCATCACCGTTAGCACCCTTTTGATCTTGCTCCACTTTGAAGGAAGCTCTTATTATATCATCCGCTCCAGGATCCAATCTAAACTGGAAAGGCGGTCCATTGCTCTTCGACCTATCATCGTCATCAGTAGCCAATATTTCAGCGACTTTTTTAGGTGTAATATGTTCAGTCAAAACAGGTCTATAGTCTTTTAAGAATGTAGGGGCATTATCATTGATATCTTGAACTATTACTGTGAGTGTAGCCGTTGCTGTTCTAGGAGGTACCCCGTCGTCTATAGCCAAAATTTTTACTTGATGTCGAGGCGTATCTTCTCTATCTAAAGACCTTTGTATGCTAACAGTGCCTTCTTGATTTATCGAAAATTGACGTTTTCTATCTGATGATCTATCAATTGCATATGAAACTTTACTCTTCCCACCTTGGTCAGGATCCGTTGCTTTAAAAGTCTCTAAACTTTTGCCTACTTCAGCATTTTCATAAACAGATACTTCAATATTTGCTCTTTCAAACTGTGGTTTATTGTCATTTATATCTCTTAATTTAACTACAACCCAGGAATAAGCTACATGATACTTGTCATTATCATTATCTTCACCCTTATCATTAACTTGTATTCTAAATCTGAAGCCATTACTTTGTAATTGGTCTTCATAATCTAAGGGTTGCACTATTTTAAGTGAACCTGTACCATCGTTGTTTCGAACCATAGTAAATTTGTCAGCACCATAACCACTGTTCTCAATTACTTTGTATTGGAATTTGTTTGTTTCATCTTCATCGTGAACTGTTACTGTAAGAATAGGCATTTCTGGTAAATTTGTTCCGTCAGTTTCATCAACTTCAGTGAACCATTCATCTTTCGTGAATTGAGGGGGCATATCATTAATATCTTTAACTCTTATAGACGCTGTACCAGTCCCTTTCAATCCTCCTCCGTCAGATGCTACAATCTGTATGGAGTAATCAGGTGTTCGCTCGCGATCTAAGCAGCACACAGCTGTCTTTATCACACCTGTTTCTGGTTCAATTTCAAATATAGGTGAACCAGTTTCTTCCTCAATAACATTCTTTTCAATAGAATACATAAGCTTTGCATTATTGCTTTCAGCCGGATCGTCATAATCTATTGCGGTCATTGTCATGACGACCATACCAGCTGTGCCGTTTTCAGTAACGTTACCGAAATATACGCCTTGTGGGAAAATAGGAGCATTATCATTAATGTCTTTGAGATTGACTTGGACATCCGCATATCCGACTAGACCCTCCCCGCCTTCATCTTGAGCAAATACAGTAAACCTCCACTGTGGTCTTCCATTTGGCTGATCGCGATCTAAAGGCTGAAAGTAACATTAAATAACGATCAGTGAATGCTGATATAGACATCTTAGCAACACTTACATATAATAGTTAAATAACTAAAATAAAATAAAAAATGATTAATATTCTGCGGTCATTAGTGTTTTCTCTTCGCGAAAATATCTATGCACAGAATACGAGTTAAGTAACGGATTAAATGTGCGATTGCATTGAGTATGCAAAGCACGCTCTCCTGTTGGTCGGCTACCTGAACCGTAGAGTCCATGCTCTCGCCGGCAACGGGCATAATATTGTAAACTACATCTGTGCCTGCAAGCACGTTCATTTGTAATGCCATATCAGATACCCGAACATAAAATTAACTTACTTTGAGAACGAAAATTTCTCCTGTCGTTCGATTGATATCGAATTTGCTGTTTGCCGGATTGTCAGGGTCTATTCCCTGTCCAGTGAGGAAATAAACAATATTTTGCTGTCTGTCTTTGTCCCCGTCTGTAGCCGTCACCTGATAAGATAAAATTTATATTAGCGAAGTTACTATTTATACTTTGTTAAAGTTATGGTTAATTATAATTGATAATGCAACCACAAAAGTACACTGCTACGTTTACTTACGTCGATTCCGGCTTCTCTCATATAGCACAAAATAGGAGAAACTGAACGAAACCGCAAACATTTCAGCTAAGTAATCACTACTTCTCATATTTGCATGCTTTTAACAAATCCTTACAAAATAAAATTGGCTTATCGTTTATATGGTTACATACACAGCATAAGCTTTAATAATATTACCTACTATTTAAGTAGTACCTACTACTTAATAAATATACATCATATAAAAAATATAACTGTACAAGCAATTACGCTGACACTGTAGTATCAATTCTATGATAGCAAAAACTTGTCAAGTGCATCAGAATAATTCGTTATTCTAAGAATCTGTCTTTCATCTGCTCTGCATACTATTTCATAAATACTCAATAAAAATATAGTTCTTTAACAGAAACTGTATTTATTATTTTACCAATACTATCCAAATTAAATACGTTAATTTTACTGAAGTTGTTTTGATAAATACAATTGTATATTGTATCTAAACGTCATTATAGAAATTTGGCAGACCCGAACAACGATCGAGTTTAAAAATAGTAATACCGTAAATTGATTTTAAAATAATATAAATAATAAACGACTTTCCAGTTCTCTTGAATTTCGATTGAGTTATCGAAGTGTTTTTTATACACATAAATAGCTAAGTGTCGTTATCCAGTCACAATGAAATTACTATTTCATAGCAGAGGAAGGCCGGAAGTTTTTCAAAGTTATGGACCTACCAACACCAGATTGTTAGTACCGGCGTTGGCCGGCGCTCGACGGAAGCGCCGCAAACTTCCCTCTTTTTAAGGTTTCGAACAAAGAAGCTGTGAAAGCGCAAAAGTTTCAGCACACTATTTAGAGAAGATATGGCGAAGGACACTGCGAAAATAGTGCTCATAATTTTCTGCAAGTAAAAAGTAGGTACCTTAAAATTATGATTTGTGAAAGAGGAAGTTTCGCCTGAAGTGCCATTTATGTTCATGGAACATTTTATAGTTAGTAACAATATTATTTGGTACACTCTGAGACCAACAAACATGTTTGTTCTACGAAAATATAACTTTTGTTATACGTTTGGGGTAAAGTGTTATGTGCAGAATGTTGTTGTCACAATGCTTTAAAGTTTCACTTCACAGATGATTATCTCTGAAAGAGATAAATAAGGCAACAGCTGTTGTAAGGTTTTTTTATAACCGTTAAAGGTGGACTTCGATGTTTGGATTGAAATTGATGGAAATCGGTTGGGTATGCGTCGCCGGTAAGAAACTTGGTCGTTAGATGCACACGCGTCTATTGTGCCAAGTTCTCACATAACGTACCTATACGTAATAAGAGAAGTCTCCAATTACGAAGCGGGCAGAGATGAAGAGGGTCGACGTTTGCGTAATTACTCGGATCATTTCCGAATCTCTGTCCAATTATAAAAAAAGCTTGTCACTACAAGCGACTTGGGACGAGGGCTTTACACCAATGCTGAACAGACATTTAGGTGATTGAGTATTTTTATGTCCACCTCTGAACATAAATTCTAAATGCCACTTGCGCAAAAATAATTCATTGAAATTATTCTTCAATAAATTCTCGGTGACAGCAAGATTGTTTTAACCGGTAAACTTTTTGTATTCCTTCCCAATTACAAATCGAGAATGAAGTGGCAGGAACCTTTTCAAACTTTATGGTTGTAAAAACATTAACGAAAGCCAAGTTTATTATTGTATTAAGATCACTTATGAATTAACTTTTAATAAAGCTAAGACAAAGCGAAAATCAATTAATCGAAGTCATCACTTAAATTACTTACCTTACCAAACATTTTATATTCATTATTATTACTTAAACAATACATAAGTAAATTGATGAAATCGTAATTTAAAGAAAATAAAAATGAATGTTATTTTCAATGAAACAGACAAAAATAATCGAAATAAAAAAATATAGAGATAAAAATAAATTTAATAATTTAACGTTGACACGATTGCATTAAATCATGCTTATTAACAAGTTCGCATTACTTATCATACGAGTATTTACGAAATTTGTAATATCATAATATGTAAGCATGATAAGTTAACAACATACAAATTTTGCAATATCAGTTTATTTGTTGAATCTAAATGTCCATTTATAATTTTATCGGAAATCTGTTTCATATGCGACACATAATGCAACAGGCCCGGGTAAAGGGGACTGTCACATACGTGGTGATCGAAATCCCTTGAATTGTAGGTGTGCAGTGCTTTAAAAAACTATGAACCGACTACCAACTCTTTTTTATTATGGATAAGCGATCTGTCAAAGAGCTTTAAAAATGGACATCTTCTTTAGAAGTTTATTGAATTACCTAATACAAAGCGTATCCACGTCAAAATATAAAAATAACAAAAGTAAAATGTAACTAAAAAACCTGGATTAAGGGGTGAGGGTAGGGTCCAGTCTCCTCGAGAGCCTGCGTGACGTACTGGCTGCGTGTGAACTGAGGCGGCATGTCGTTTACGTCCAGTACCCGGACTAGAACCTTCGTGGAGTTCTCGTTGCGACCATCCGATGCGACCAGCGTCAACTCGTACTACACACACGCACACTTTAGCACACACATGCTCATGCGAATCAATGCAAAACTACAGTCCTTGCAATTCACGGAAGCGCTTCACTCTACTGACCGCTAGTTTCAATACTCAATCTCTAGAAAAAGGTAAGGATAATCTGGTTCCGTTTCTTAGCAACAGATGTTATTGTAATTTTAATAATATAATATCTTAGCAACAAAGCTCGAGTAGGCCTACCTTATACTGGAGTTCGATTAGTGAAACTGGTCATAAATAGATAAAAAGTTTCGGTTTTAACTCCATCTCCATCATTTGGAATGCAGGTTTCAAATTTTTTTTTATATCAATCGCGCTCGTAAATTGCAAATTTTGAATCTTAACTTACACAGAGAACCTTGCTGTTTGTAAAAAAAGAAGTCAAAAAAATATTAAACAAACAGAATAAAAATAATATCTAATTGGAATTAATTAATTACCTAAATTGGTGATTTTATTGCGAATGAGATATAGTGATGAATTGGGTGCTTGATAAAATAAAGGTCTTTACTTAATTATAGACGTGTCTTTGACGTAATAAGTATCAATTAATTTAAAATCACGTCTTCAGAATATATTAAATAGGATAATTATACAATTCTCAACGTCCAAACGGTAACGTTTCCCTACACTGAAAATTTTTGCTATCTTACACAATAATTTGTACCAAAATCATAAAATATATTTCGCCGGGAGGCTTCGCGCCGTAAAATTCGGATTTACACTGCAGATAACTTACTCTGCAATTTTATACTGGCTGTTTTTGCGGATACTATGTTGTATAAATCACTCGGCGTGCAATGATAAATCGCAACTCGTTTTATTAGAGTATCGTATGTGTCTAAAATGTTTGTTTTGTAAACGAGTTCGTCAGCCAAAATTTAGGTACCGTTCAAAGCCGCGGTGAATTAATCCCAAAGAAGAAGTTAATATTACTTTGTTTCTGAGGTCTTGGAACAGAAATTGAAAAGTACAAAATTCTGTACGCAATCGCGGGTATCCGAACATCTGTCGAAGTTCCCGTCATTATCGTTACAAAAATGGGTAAAAGCCAAGAGGTCCGCCACGAAATTTTCGCTTAAAAATACTTTCACCTCCACGGCGGTGATAATATAATTATTTTTCCCTTCTGAAGAGAGCATCATCATTGACGCCTTCATTCGCGAATTGAGAAGCATCAGATTAAAGTTCTAGTTGTATTGATATTCGCAATTTTTAATTGAATTAATAAGCTAATTTAACTGTTCAACAAAATTGTATAAGTATTTGCATTTTCGCGGAACCAACAATTAGGAGATGCTCAGATCGAAACACGTGTAAACAATGCTTTAATTAAAAACCAGTGTTTGAGGTTTCCTTGTTTATATATTTGATGAAAAAAAAGGACAAACAAAACCAACTAAAATAACATCACGATGATAAATAATGTCCAACCGCATCCATAATCCTACTGTCGAGATATTAAAAAAAACTTAAAGGAATCCAGAGCAAGATACTGTTGCCGGCGACGACCTCATTCTGAAACTGCAGACGAGCGCAATAAACAACTTGGATGCAAATAACAGAGCGAGTAAAAAAACAACAACAAGACGGACACTAGCTACGAAACGAATCTACAAAACAAAATGACGTCACAAACGAAACAACCATGCCATGCATTAACGAAAAAACAAAACAAACTATAAATCTGATTCTTTTCAAAATCATACAATTTAGAGAAGAATCGGACAGTCTCGAGCGAGCGCACTTTTACGACAAAACTGTTTTATGCCTTTTCTATGGACCACATTTTCCGTCTTGAGATAACGTGTAGGTAAGGACGGTAAGTACTTGCTGAACTCTCTTTATGTTTACCTAAGTTAGGCTGTTACTAATCGAAATTACACGAAAAGAGAAAACATTTACTAGGTCTAACGGTAAATACGTGAACCCTTGCTTGTATCCGGCTATAGCAATATAGCTTGCTCTTTTGCTAAGGACTGAAATAACTTTGTTTTAGTTTTTGTAAGCGTATGGCTCTATGATGTATGGATGACTTGTTAACAATAGACGATGGACACAAATTCGAGACATTAATAAATTAATAACCAAAAGTAAAGTTTTTTTATGGTCTTCAAGTATCACCTCACGTGATACTATTCAGAGTCTACTGCTAAATCTGATTAAATCAATAAATGGAACTGGTTTTAAAGTTCGTAATATATATTTTTTATTACTAAGACCTATAATAATTTTGTTTCGTATTTAACGTAACAGACTTCAGACTGCGCACGCATTTTTTGTGTTTTATGCAATATCTAATGTTATGCTACTATTTTTAGTGGGAGAATGGCATAAAAGAGCTTTGACGCAAAGCGCAAACGTAAATCGCAAACGTTAATCGATCCTAAGCGGACCTGAAGAACGCGCTTGGGCAGATTGCGGTCGTCCTCCTCGGTGATTTGAGTGCGGTACGTAGGCCGCTCGAACACTGGCGGGTTGTCATTCACATCCTTCACGTGAATCACCACCGTCGTGTAGTTCTCCTTCAAGTTGTCCGACGCGGCCAACTTCAGTTCGTACTGTTACGAAACAATGAGTTGAGTACACGGAACTAACTGATGCGAATCCGCAGCCGATTACATGGTATATGTTTACTAGGTATATGTATGTACGAAAGTTCTGTTTGCCCTATTAGTATCGTTACATTACTACTCTTTAATTTAAAAAAAAAGCAAAAAGAAATATTTTAACACTTTTTAATAGCTTACAAGGAGACATTATGTCTAGTCCGAAACATTAATTAACTTGTCACTTTCAAATAACCCATTTAAATCATTTTTGTTGAATAAAGCTATTTTCAATTACAAACCACAGTTACCAGTAAGAACATCAATCAAAACGTTCGCTTGAAAGCGAATTTTCAAAAAAGTTTTTGAAGAAATTATATTAAGTAGATTTAAGTAACCTAATAATTTTCAGTTACAACCTCATCATACCTTTTTAACTACATCTATGAAAAAGTTTGATAAAAGAAAAGCGGTTTTTTAATTAACTTCCTATTCTAGCCATGGTCAAAGGAAGTCTTTGAAGTAAACGGAAAGTAAGTCATCTTTTATCTGTCGACATAATAAGTAAAATTTTACAGAAATGTGATTAAAATGTTCAAAAGTCACTGAGGGGGGTTTCTTTTTATGTCTTTATACAACCTTCTTAAATTGGCCGGCTTTTTTTGTAATTGTATAAAGCGCAGAAGCGACCACGCTTTAACCACGATTAACGACAAAGTTTTTAAACTTTTCTTTGCTAGTTAACAAATTCTAAATTATTAAAAATGCTTATCTTTTTTGGATAGCTATCATCAACAGCCACCCTCTTTCAATACAAATTATAATTTGAATATAAACTTCATGTGACGACGAAACTGCAAAAAAGTCCAGTATTCACATGATTTGATTCTATCTGATAACACAACTGTACGAGTTTTGAGTTAGGTACATTCCATCACAGTGCCATACTCGGTTGCGTTTCAGTGAAACTCCCGTGTCATCGATCAACGCAACTAAACCTAACCCCACAATTAGGATGCGCATACTTAGCCTAACGGCCTATCTTTGGATTGTATATTATCGTGTCCAATTGGCTGTGGTTAGTATTCCCTCTAATATTCCCAGTGCTCTATTTTGGCGAACGAGAAAATCGGATAGCATTGAGCATTCAGTTTGTGCGAAGCCATTAACTTAGAACGGCTCAGGTGTCTCAATATCTCAATAGATTCTAGGGAAATGACACAATGCAGCGCTTATGTACGCCGAGGCGGCTAAAGCGATTTACTCATCCCGTCCTGAACGAACCGCTGTAACTGAAAAGTGCTATTTAAATATACATTGTCGATGCGGAAATGTTGACATTGGTAGGAGCGCACTCGTTCGCTACTCGAACAAGACTTTGAAATGTAAAACATGTTTGATCATATAAAAACCTGAAATCCAAGATTCTCCTAATAACGAGTAAATAGTAGAAATGTAAAATAAACACCGTTCTGTATAAGAACAAACTAAACAAATTAAAATTGCTATCGTATTTATTGCCTTGTTCCCATCAAAGCGCCACGAGAATCTGCAGTTTAATTGCGCAACATCCTTTGGTAGCAACTACGCTGGCTCGCTTAAATAGGTATTAAAGAATAAATTATTTATCTCGGGGAAAGTTTGGAGCAAACTTTCGACGAGCCTGTAACAAAGAGGCCATCTGACTACAGAGTACAGAGTACGCAACGCCTCGACGGGATGTTTTTAAATTGAAACGAGCTGCGAGGTACGGCTAGGGAGCTACAAACTGCTTATGGGAAATCTGTGTTTCATCGTCGATGTTATATACATATATATATTATAGTATTTGATATCGTTTGATTTATTACAATACAAAATAACTATTCTAACCTCATTACAATGCCAAACTACCAACTAATTTAACTGTCAAAATACAATGGATTTTAGATTATGTTATGACGGCTACGAGTATATCATATCGTGTTGCGATGGTATTATTTTTATCAAGCATTTGTCCACGTCAGAGTCGCTACACGTGGCCACGCGTTTTCTTAGTCTAGAATTCTAAGTAAAATTACTTTTACAGCAAAGGTATAGCTGAGTTTTTTCTTTTTTCTGTAGCTGCAGCACACAGATCGATTCTAATTAATGCTACTATTCGTTTACTTGAACTTGTTAGCTGTATGTGGTGGAAATAAACATTTTATCTTAGTAGGTATTTAACTAACGCATGCGGACCGTATAATTCGTGTCCGTGACGGTAGGTAAAAATTAATTGTAATCAAATCGTTTGCATGTAAAGGAGATTGCTCAGCTTCCATACATGTTTGGCCTAAAGACGAATAATCATGAAAAATTGTTTCCTAGATTCGAAATTATATATAAATTACTGTAGAAACGAATATTATTGACGGTCACCCCTGAGAACTTCTATAAACCATATACACTGAATGATTTTGAGGTTGTTGATTTTGATTGTTTGCAAATAGGTACATAGGTATAAAAATAATAAAAAACAAATAAGTTATATAGTAAACTAGGGAAATCAAGCCACGTACCGAGATTATGTATTAGATTCAGGTATATTCAGCATGTAGATTAACAGATAGTTGCCTGTTTTTAAAGTTAATTCACAAGAGTAACTTTTCAAATCAGGTATCATCTACGCAATAGGCTAGTTGACCCTTTTTGGAAAAAGGTTTTAAATGGTTAATAAATGTTCTATTAGACCGAAAAAAAATGTATTGAATTTTTTTGAGACCTGGAAAGCTACAAATCTTTAATTTTAAAATAAACTTTTCATGGACATACAAAAACGCTGTCGGCCATTTTAGTCTATAGATTGTTTATGCTTTGACGTCAACTACAGTAAACAAAAACTCGTAAGCACGTAGAAAATAACTTAACTGAGTTTATAATAAAAAAAAACAATATTTCTAATAAATATCACGAAAAATTAAGTAATTATCATTATTGTATTGTACGAGAATATAAAAACACATCCTTGAAGACTCCAGGAATGTTGTGGATTAAAGTGCCGAAAGAAATTAACTTACGCAACTTTATTACACTTATTCATATGTTGTATCAGTTTTATGTTTATTACTACATTGTAATACTAAATTCACTGTACTTACATAGATGCCTTGTCATTTCTCTGCTACGCAGAGTAGAAATCGGGGTTTAGTGCAAAAAATTCACCAACCATAAATGCGTCAATTCTTGGCAGATTTGTACTTTCTATTTTCACAAAGCCGGCTTCCATAATTAGTTTTGTCAAAAAACGTAAACGGAAACTTTGCTAAAGTTAAAAGTGTTTTAAGATAAATTTAGTCAGACGAAAGAATCCACCCACAATAACACGCGAATGACATTTAGTTGTTTACTAAAAGAGACGTCACAATCATGGCAGATGCGGCGAACAGCGTTTTTAGTGTTTAAAAAATATAGACTAAAAATATTTTTTTAAATTAAATTTCTACAGCAATCTTGTGCTTTTATGAAGTGAAATCGATATATTTAAGTTCCTTAGACCAAATACTTTAAGAAATAGACATTTATTTAATACAATTCGACATGAGTCAACTAGCCTATTCCGGTTATAATAAAATACTCTGTGACAGAAACTGTGTGATGCAAGTTCCTTGGTGATGATTGTGTATGAACCACAGATTAGAGATTTTTTAAACTCGCAAGCTAACAGATTTAGGTTATACAGCCATATCTTCAGTAGCTTCATTATTTTTGTTATGTTTATATTATAACCATATTTTAGATTTTTAGTGTGTCACACCTTATAATGTGTTTATGGAGGTGTTTGACGAAAAATGTATGGCAACAGATTTTATGATGTCGCCTACCATCTATAATAATTATCCTAGCACATTTGCATGTAGTGAAAATAATAATACAGTTGTGAATATTAATACCACAGTGTAATAAAAAAAATGTTTTATTTTATCGATCTTTACAACATAGATTTGTTTTGATGTTATATAAACAACCTCGATCAGTGTTTGGCTAATGTTACTACACCCATAGCCATTAAAAATGATTCGTATGTTTTCTAAACCGGTACAATTAAAGTCCTTTTTAAAATTTATATATTATACAAAGGTGTCCGTTAAAATCTAATGACTGTAAAATAAAGTTTAAATTACATCAAAAATTACCGTATATATCAATATTTTTTGTACATTTGGGCCAATTTGAGCAATCTCCTTTATAAAGCCTTATAACATTTTGTAACGTAATTAAATGAAGACGTAAAGAGACATGTACGAGAACTGCGTTAATAGGATACTTTATACAAACTGTAGATACGGGGACGCCAACATTACGAATAAATGTCAAAAGTATTTTTCCCGTTTTATTTTACGTCGAGTGTCGGGGAAAAGGTTTGTGTCTTTATATGACACATTCATTATCAAATTTTCCTAGAGGTATTTTTGACAGGTTTAGCAAAAAAATATGAACATGGATAGAATAGTAAATACAAATTCTTGGATACGCGCAAAATAAATACGAGGGATGCTCAATTATATAAAAAGTAGGCTCAAAATGTATTTTAAAATCATAGTTTAAATTGATTGCGAATTCTGAAAACCAGTCGTTACCAAATTTTATAAAGAAAGAAATAAATAATTTATTGACCAACAAACAAAGCATAAATAAAAAAAAATAAGGTTAACTAGGTCCCTGCCTCAGCACAATGCCACAACGACACTAAGGCCGCTGCGGCGCTGATATTCTGGCAGGGCCTAAGGTTGACATGAATAAAAGTAGTCATAAAAACAAAAACACACAATCACGGATAAAAACTACCACAAAAAATATGAAAAGGCTGTTGTTTTTTTCATTTGCATTAGCCATAATAAAAATTATAATATCATAAAAAAACTGTAATAATCTCTAGTCTGTGGAAATTTAATTAAATAATTGAGCACGAGCAACTTATTTAATTTAAAGTAATAAAATCTCAACCAGTGTAACAATATTCTATGAGTAACTTTGTTTTTCTCAAATACCCAACTACAGCAAATATGGACAGAGGGTAAGATCTATTAAGTATGTATACATTCAACCGTAAAAACAATATTCGGCAGTAAAAGAATTGAATTAAAAAATGCAATTTTAACATAAATGTGTTCATTCATCTGCAGCTTTACTAAGTACCAACGCAAAGGCAAAACAAACAAGATGGATGGCGTGTGTCCTTTATTGATGAGGCTCAAATTCAACAATAACAACAAGTATATCGTTCTTTACGACAATATCCCAGTGCTGGATTATGAAAACTAGACAATATCTGCATTTGTAGTAGATATGTTTTGATGTGTTTTTTGAAAGTGTGAATTGTTTTTAGATCACGCACTGACGGCGAGAGGTCGTTCCAGCATTTTGTGGCTGCAAATCGAAAGGATCCACGAAATGCTGCTGTTCGGTGTTTCATGGTTGTGAAGACAAGCCCACACTGCCTAACTGGGTATCTACTCTGATCACGCATCCATATAAGGAGATCTTACAAGTTAAGGTTTGTTTGTTTGGCTGTTCAAAAAACTGACTTCGATGGAAGAGCAAATATACTCTTATGAGATGCATGCAAAATACAAATGAGCGAAGCCCAATTACATAAAAGGTAGGCTCATAAATGTGCTTGGAAATCATAGTTAAAGTCGACTTCTGAAAACCTATTACGTTACGTTTCGAAAAGGTTAAAGTCACGTAAAAAGTTAAAAGACTCGCGTCAAACTAAATGTAAGGTTTTCGATGCACAGCCGGCGCCGAACACGTACCTAAAACACTGTACACCATTTGTAAGCCAAATATTTTCGACCGTGCGCTTTGGCGATAAAAGTTGGATTCCATCGCTGGCGGCAAACTAAGAACACAAATAACTTGCCGTTTTAGACAGCGACAAGAACTCCGACCCGCACACGAGTTCCATTAGTGTTGGCGAACTCGCATCAACGTAATGCTACTAACACAATTATATATATATAAAAAACTTTCGTATACTTCACGACCTTCACGTTGAGTCAAGCATCGATTTCTCATCATTATGGAATAACTCGGGTTATCCGTCAATGAATTAGTGCGATCAAGACTGTAAAATAAATTTATTATACCTATAACGGCTGTTCTAACCAAAAAAAAATGCAAGCAACAACAATAACTTTTTCAGGAAAACTATATTAATCATTTTTTTCTATCTTACACCCTTTAAATTACTTTTTTAATGCATTCGATTAAAGCAATCATGATTTGTATATAATTTCTGATCAGATGTTATTAAGCTTAGTTTTTAGTTCACATTTTAGGTACTTTCGTTTCGTTTTCAGTTGCTGAAAATTATGCAGTGTAAGCAAAAGACAAATCTCTTGTGTAGCCTTTTACATTTTACCTAGACATGTTGAGAGGTACCCTAAGTATTCAATAACAAAAAGCGATGTTACGTTTTAGTAAGTAAAAACAGTGTGATATTGAAGCCTAACTACAATTTGATTTGTATATATATATACAAAGTAATATTGCTTACTTGCCCCAGTCTCGAGAAAAGTAGGCGAATTTTTTTTCTTATTTCATAATTTATTTGATAATCAAATCACTAGTAACAAACTTAACTCCATTAATTATAAGCCCAAATTTTATAGTTGGTATCAAGTAAAAAGTAAGCTCTTTTGTCATGACTTGAAGCAATCGAAAACACACCTAATGATTTTGTCACAAGAAAGATGTTATCTTAGACCGATTTGTGTAATACATCGTTAAATGTGAATATGGATAAAATACTATAAGTATAAAAAAAAATTACATTCGTCAAGATTCTAATACACAGTAAATGTGTAAAATTTTAGCAAATGGTTGTCAAATTTAACTATGTTTCAAACAAAGCGGCCTAGTCATGTCTATTTTAAATAGCTATAGAGTCAGTTATGGCAAGTTTGCATCGTCAATAGACTAGATATTCACAAACTGCCACCACAAGAGTAAAAAGACATACAGAGACAAAGCTTCATACAACCGCGCTGCGATCGTTTCAATACTTAAAGCAAGACGCTCGAAGATACCTCTAGAGCACTAGGCACTCGCCAATTCTTTCCGAACGATTTAGATTCCCTTAGGATCTCGCCGTCCCCAAACCCAGTGAAACCCTAAAGGTCATCTGCGACCAACAGTACTCCCGAGTCTTACTATCGTAACTTACCCGTACTTAAAAAGAATTTTAAATTTTAAACGTTTTGTTTATTTTTATTTATACTCCCGTGTCAATCCTACCAAAAGTAGGGAAAATTCCGCCTGCTCTATAGAAGCTTTGTCTCTGTACGTGTCTATATTTACTACTCATGTGCTGCAGCCATAGAGCAACACAGCCGACGCGGCTAGGAGGGGAGTAGCCATAATGACATAATACTACTGAAATCATTCTGCCGCTTTTTGCGGGGAGAGAAATATACACACAAATGCAGTCCAACATACTTTCGCAAAAACGAAATTGTAATTACGACACTCACATATAAAAAATGACAGAGCTAAATCGGGCATAGATGAAACTTAAGATTTTTATTGACAGATTTGAATTTATACTGGCGAGTCGATTGTTTTATCAAAGAAGTGCGGCATTTGGATTTAACAAAATAACATGAATTATGTGTTTAAAAGTGGTAAAGTAGAAATAATATGTTAATAATTCAAGATTTATTTTACAGAGAATGACATAACATTTTAGCATTTTTGATCACTAATATACTCTCGCGCGACTTGACTCAGTCTAATGAAATATCCGAGCGCAACTAATAGTTTTGTTTTTGCTGTGAATACTCCCCTCCTGTCAGTGCCAAACACAAACATTGTTCGACGATTTTGTCACAATAGTGCTGTGCAAACTCTTGACTCGACAACACATTGACTCGGAGTCGATAGATATCCACATGAATAGTTCAAACGTGCATGCTTGGGAGTAACTTACCCGTTTTCTGGTCTCGTAGTCGAGGGCACCGGCGACATAAATCGCGCCGGTCATGTTCTTGACGGCGAACGCGCCGCCTATGTTCCCGCTCGTGATCTCGTATCGAATACGCGACGCTGCAATAGATAAACACGCGTTTAGAGACGGGACGCTGCCTGCAATGCGATTTGTGAGACGAGTCGTAATCGATTACTGGGGATATCGATTCTAACCGCCCTTGTGCACCGACTAATGGAATGCCGATTAGGTTAGCCGGGCTCGGTTAGTGGTCAGGTGGCTCAACGGTTAATCTTCTATAACCATGTATTGCAACAGTTAAAGTAGGCCTTATAAAGCATGTTTTTGGTTTTACCAATACATATCGTTTAATTGAGAAATCATAGCTAAAACCCTTGATAGAAGTATAAAACCTATCGGTTAAGCAACAGATATATCAAAAAGGTACCGTATACTCAAAATATTTTTATATATGATAATACAATATATCTTTAAATTCTTCGCGTAAAATATTACCGTTAAGGCAGGTCGTTACACTCCCTAAAATATGGTTGATCGAAGATGCCTTGTCTCATACGTTACTCATGTGGAGAGATGCTTTTTAATGAGATGAAACTGCTGACTACAATTGATTGCCTCTCTTTTTTATGTTATTGTTTGAATAGTTATGATAAATTCGCAGTAGAATTCTTTTTGTGAAACTATTAAATTTGAATCGCTACTCTTCCTGAAATGGTGAACAAAAATTTTAGTTACCTCACACATCACAAGAAAAAGTTGATAACTATGTGTTTTTTTGTTTTTTTTAAGAACATTTGAATAATTGATTTATATATGACGAATGAAGCTTCCAATAGAGCTTTTCGTGTCGGTACCAATAAGCAATTACAATTTCAATTTTAAAAATCAATAAGAAAAATAAATTTATATAGTTCCGCTTTCATACGCAAACCATTGATATAAAAGTATTGCAAGAGTCAGTTTTATTTCCTGAAACTGTCATTAGATCATAATAATCCTAATAAAAATATGTTACTTATTTTAGTGACACAAAAACAGTCAGGCAAAGCGAATTGATTAAAGCGCTTTATAGGTACATGCTACTTTCGATAAAGCTGAAAGTTCACGGTTGAGTCACGATGACAGCATGAAATATCATAGCTCTTTCCGCAGTACGTGTAGAGTACTTCCACAAATTGGGACGAAAAAGAGAGAATTTGGAAAAGTTAACGGATTTATTGCGGTTCCATTCGGTATTAATCTTGCACAGCTAACATCGCTTCAGAACAATCCAATTAAATGGCAACGTTTAAAAATAATGTGCGTGCCACTCGCGAGAACGAACGTCGCCCGTCGCCATCCGAGATTATTAAACAGCTTAACAATCGGAGCTTCCGATTGTGAAGACATGAAAGTACTATCTGGCAACCGAGCTCAATTCCGGAACAGGGATTTGTTTGTAACACAAAAGAGTTTTCGAAGCGCAAAGTTTCGCATCGATATCTGTATTTACATTTACGTTCCCCTCCAATATTAACCTTGTTGAAATTTGATTGTTGTTGAGCACCAAGTTCAAAATTTACGTGTGTGACTATGGGTAACTATCACCCGTGGGGCGGTGGTCTTCGTGGCTCACGTTCAAAGTTTATCTTGCTTAAATAGTAATTGGATTTCCATTACTAGTAATGGTCAGGGTTTGTAGATAAGGGCCGGCCAACTTGGGAGCGACCCGGCCGGCCATGATTGTCAGAAGATTGCTTTCATTTTGCCCAAAGCGTAATCTAAAGGCGTATTTCCGTACACCAAAGTTACGGTCAGGTAGGGTAGTCGTTTGTAACGTATGAAACAGGATAGAACAAGAGATATTTTTCTTATCTTCATACGATTATTTTATTGTATCTGCGAACGGAAAAAAATGGTTTAATATAATTTCATTAAAAATGGTGAGTTGGCATTAAAGCTGCTCAGAGATATTATTATTATTAACGTTACATGAACAATGTAAGTAGTTGTTAACGGAACTCTATTTAATAATATACACTGCGACTTTATTAAGAGATCTGCTGTGTTTGTGACTCGTCATCAAATTAGTGTAGTTTAACTTCTAAGAATTGTAAGTTGTTTGTGAATGAAAAGCGTTTCTCTGATGTAATTCGAGTTTTCATTAAAGTGAAACATTTTATCGTCTTAAATGTAGAACATCTAACTTTTAAGCAAAGAGAGTGTCAGATCTTGTAACTTGTTGGTCACCCTAGTAATGACCTACTGTTGATGCGTATTATCTCATTACGTGAGCAAAGACAGCATAAAGTATACGACGAAAGTAATGTCGTCATTGGGCGCACGGAACTCAACAACTGGTACATGATGGACGCATAAAATGTGCAAAACAACATAAACATAAGTACTTTATGCATGTAGGAAGATAACTAATTGAAAAATACGAGTCTCAAATAAAATATGTTCCTGATAAAAAAGCAGGTACAATTGGATTTTATACTATTTACCAAAACCGTTTTGAACTTGTTTTTATTCTTACAAGCTTTTATTTAACTTGCACCGTTCGCATGTAATATGTAGTTTCAAACTTTGTAAACTATTGTTTGACCACTTCTTGCTATCCGATTTAGCTAAAATTTGGCATACTTATGAAAATTTGATGATAAAGCAATAACATGGTACCATGTAGCTGTTCTAATGATGGAGTAGGAACGTGGCCATTGGGAAAATATAAATATTTTTCAGAAAAAATCTCTTTGACCGTAACTTTCAATATTATTTTTTCACGAAGGTATAACTTCGTTACTCAGCGCTTATTAAAAATCATTTTTGGCTTCAGCCCACAATGGCTGACGGGAAATGTAATTAGAATCGTTAATTTCTTGGCAACTCACTGTTAACCACGTCGTTTCATAATGAGAACTCATATCACAAGCTTCTACACATGCCATAATGTGTGTAATAAACTTAATATAATTAAGTTGATACTGGTGTTGTATGCGATACAACCGCACCCAGCCCGTTATGACGTAACTGCACACCCGCTTAATTTATTTACTTTTTCGAAATTTAATTAAACCCTCTGGAAAGCTTTATATGTAATTACGTTTAGGGATTCAGCAGTTATTTAGGCAACGTTAAAGCAATTACAATTTTGTATTTCGTTTCATTTAGATTTTCGTAACGAAATCTTTTACAACTCTGTAGTGGAGTGACTCATACCTACAAACAATTGTATTCTATTGTTGACTCCTATTGGATCAAGGTTTGACTCCAGTACATATTGTTCTGGGTATATTCGATATTGGTGTGAGTTTTAACGTATGATTAATAATGTATTTTACGACCAAAGCAACAATTTACAGTGTCAAATTTTATCTTTGTGATAGGTACCTAATGTCATTTTCGCGATTCCGCGATTAGTCAGTGTATGAACGGGCAATTCATTTCTTTCACTTGTATTACGATATTTCATTTAAAAATACAGCCTTTCCGCTCGAATTAGAGCGACTGTCTGGGGAAGCAACCTCCAGTCTTTACAGAGGACCACAGCAAAATAAAGATGTGTTTCTTCTGTCAAGTAGGGTTCCAGCACTCAGCGCTTCAAGCGGAGTAGGGGATTGGGTTCGGGCCGGCCAGGTGAGGATGGCTGTGCCGCTCCAGCCACTTTCTGCCGCATAATCTATGTTCGCGACTGGAAACCACTTACATTTAATAGTAGGTGTGGTGGGGTAATTTATTGCACCTCGTATAAAAAATACTGCTGTTATGGGGTTGGTAGTGACACTGCTGGGTGGCATGACGTGTAAATAAATTAAATGCCACCTTACATTACAAAACTGCCACAAAATATATACTTGCTATACAATACCTAAATTTACACTGGAGAGTTTCCAAATCAATCTATCCTCACCTTCATTCATTTGAATAAAGATCGAAAATGAAGAATTACTTTTCGCAGAAAACTTTCATAATTAATCACACCGATAAACGGAACAGAAGATACTTGCGAAATCTCTATCGAAGAGTAGACGTTATTTAAGTTCAATTTATCAATTAAATTTGAATTTTTTTTGATATTAACTTTTCTACAAAATTAATAATTCGGTATTCGGTTCTACTGGGTCACTATTGATAAAGCTTCCTTGGTTATACTTTAATGAGAATCGTTATACTAATTTAAAAGGCAGTAAAAATATACATACTAGTATTATGATTTTATAATATTGGTACTTTTAATATTGGTATTTTTAAAGTACTTGTGCTGAAAACTCAGTGCACTATGGTTTGTGTTGGGGAAGGGGTACCCATGCATCTTTGAAAAAACAAATACTTCGACAGTCAGTTCTATTCGAACCATCGCAGTAACCGGTAATAAAAGAAAGAGAAACTCTGCGCATTAGTGAAAGTAATTGACTTATGTATAGCAATTGTGTAGGTAAAATTATAAAAAGTAGAAGTGTTACTTTAGTCTATTTGAATTATTCCAAACTACGGTAGTTGTCAGACTTATATAAAGCTAAATATCATGATGTACAACAGATTTCTCTCGCTTAGATTACCGCCATTTACTGAAAAAATAGTACCTTAGAGGCATCTAAATATTCCCATTCACGTTGTAAAATTATCATAAAATTCAGGTTGATGATGACAGAAATAAAATGAACGAATCAATTTGGCGGTTGTTCATTTAATTGAATCTTCTAGGACTAATCAATAAAATTCTGCATTTCCGTCGTAACGATAAGTTTTTATCGTTTTACAAAGAGATAATCTTTTAAGTACTTATAAATTTAGGATTTTAATGACTTGCTCTTTATAACGAGTTTTGAAACGAGTTACTTCAGCGATTACGAAATGAATCTGTAAAGGATCAGAACCGTCTCTTGAAATATGCCCCGTGAAAATGAAAACAAACGCCCTTTTGGAGTTTCATTAAATGAGTAGCGCTCGGAAGTTTAAGAAACAGTTAATGTAAATTTAACCCTTTCTAGACTCGTGCCCATCAAAGGTATGAATTTAGGCAATTAGATTTCAGCGGATGCGATGGATGTCCCAGTCCAGACTTTGTTATTTACAACGCTGAAAACTAATTCACGGAGGAAAGCTGATTCAATTTTTTAT